AATCCAAAATGCTTTAACTTCCCTACATGTCCACCAAATATGAAAATAAGTTGCATCTAAATTTCCACATCTCCAACACTTAGGTTGTAAATTAGGATACATACAAGACAATTTTTGAGGATCCAGATGCCACCTATAAAACATTTTATAAAAATTTTCCCTTAGGTTTTGAGCTTGGGTAAATTTTACATTTCTAACCTAAATTATCTCCCATGTGTCCAATAAAATTGGTTCTTGTATATTTTGCGCCCATTTTATCATACAATCCTTAACCAATTCTGTTTCTGAATCCAATTCAATCAGTACATTATAAATTCTTTTAATATGAGCTTGAGATTGATCTTTAATCTGTTTCATCAAATTTGCATCCTGTAAAGTAATACCAACTTTTTGATCCATACGCCACCTCATTATCAATTGATTATAATAAAACCAAGAATATTCAATATTTTCTTGTTTCAAATCTACTAAAGATTTAAGTTGCCAATCTTGTCCTACCAGACGAAGTAATTCCTTGTAAGAAACTTTATCCAAATTAACTCCCCTAGATATCCCCTCTATTACCTGTCCTGGAGTTGCCCAAATAGGAATTTTATAATTTAATTTATAGTAATATTTCTTCCAGACTCTCAATATAGCACTCCTTAAGATATGGACCTTAAAATTTGTGTCTACCTTTTTATCATAAATTAAATATGCCTGCCAACCAAATAACAAATCCCATCCTTCAAGAGAAAGTATATTCTTATATGTTAAATTTAACCAATCACTGATCCATGTCAAAACCACCGCATCATAATACAATTTTAAATTAGGGGCTTTAAGTCATCCTCGTTCCCTTATATCTTGCATAATCTTAAACTTAACTCTTGGCTTCTTGCCCGCCCAAATGAACTTATTAATACCCTTCTGCCAATCCTCCAAATTAGCGTCTTTTTTTAAAATAGGGATCATTTGGAACAAGAAAAGAAACTTTGGGAGAATATTCATTTTTACTGCTGAAATTCTCCCCAATAAAGATAATTGCAATTTTTTCCAGTCATTTAAATCCTTTTGGACCTTAACCCATAAAGATTCATAATTATTCTTATACAATTTAGCATTAGTGGCTGTAATATAAACTCCCAAATATTTTACCTTTTTAACCATTTCAAAACCTGTAAGCGTAACTAACATATCTTTGTCATTCATAGACATATTTTTCGGTAATATTTTAGTCTTATTACAATTAACCTTAAAACCAGAAACTTTCCCATATTGTGCAATAATTTCAACCAAGTCAATTACCGAGTCTATTGGCTGAGTTAATGTTAACACTAAGTCATCTGCAAAAGCTCTTAATCTATACTCAATCTTATTAACCTTAATTCCTTTTATTATAGAAGACTCCCGAATTTTAATTAACAAAATCTCCATTGTTAACACAAATAACAATGGAGATAATGGACATCCTTGTCTAGTTCCTTTTTCAATTTTAAATGCTTCTGTTACCCCCCCCCCCATTAACTATAATCTGTGC